GTCTATAAATTTGGGAAATATCAGTGTGTAGGTGCTACTGAAAGTCATAGGACAGGATGAGATCACCCATGTAGTGAGGGAGGCTAGCGGGAAGGCTGGGAAGATAAAAGGATCCAGCTAAGGAGCCTGAGAAGAGGCTAGTGAGGTAGGGGAAAGCTAGAAGAGGGGATCCCAGGAGCCAAGGCTGCTGTGAGATCAATAAGATGAAGACTGAGAAATGCCTGCTAAATTGGACCATGTGGTGGCTACCGGTGACCTTGACAAGAATGGATTCATCTAGGGGATAGGGACAAAAGCATAAGTGTAGTGGATTCAAGCATGAATGGAGATGAAGAGGTGAAACAGGGCAGCAGAGAAGCTGGGTGGCAGCTGAAAAGAGGAGTAACGTCAAGGGAGGTTCTGTTAAGTTTTGTTTTATGTTTTTGTTTTTGTTTTTGTTTTTAACGGGAGTTATTACAGCACTTTGCATGCTGATAGGAATAATCCAGTAGAGAGTGAAAAACTGATGATGCAGCAGAGAAAGGAATAATGGCAGGAACAAAGTTCCTGAGTAGGTAAGAAAAGACAGGGAAGTTTACGCAGAAGTCAGGGAGATGCACGGGAGCTCGCACAGCACATCCGCTTCTATGGGAGGGAAGGTCAAGTACGTGTGGAAAGCTACAGGCAGATGGACGCGTTAAATTGCTGGATGATGTGGACATTCTCTTCTGCCTGTTTCTGTTTTCTCCATGAAACAGTAGGCAAGGATGGCGACTGAAGTGAGGGTTGAAGGGATGGAGCTGGTTTGCAGAGAGCAGAAGATGAGCGAAGAGTCAAAGACGACAGGACTGCGGCAGGATTGCCGGGCAGTGTTGAGGGCCTCTATGTGGAATGAACAAGTGAAACCTGTGATAGTACCTTCTCTTTCTACCATCCAGTCCCCCTCCAGGCACTGAGAACTAAGTCTTGCTACAATAAGTCGGCACATCAGTCCATCAGCTATCATGTAATTTACTTATTTTTATGCACTAATATAATAACCATTCATTCATTCAATCATATTTATCGAGTGTCAGGCACCACTAGGTACTGGGGTTAGAGCAGTGAACAAAATAAACCTCTGACCTGAGGGAACTTATCTTCCATATCTTAAAAGACAAGAGCCCTCATCTTTGGTAAACACAAGTCCTCAGTGAAAAACAATTAGGAGGTGGAAGTTTCCATATTTACGTACTCAGAACTGGAGTCATCTAAGTTTAAATCAAGAATACCAAGGCTCAGGACAGATGGCCGAGTAAAGGAGTGAAGGACACGCAGCCTGCCTCAGGGAATGCATCTTTATTTCTTTCCCACTAGTGCTGGGCAGGCTTCGTGGAATCCAGCCAAGTGCAGCAGACAGAAGAATAATCTGCTGGAATTTTTGTCTTTAGTGTCAGAGCAAGGATTCATCATTATCTCAGAAGAGCATGAATTAATTGACCATCATAACAAAACCTGGTCTGCTCCATCCAGTTTCTCAGTTTCTCAGGACTACATAAATCCTAGAAGATACAACCTCCTCTGAATTTACAAATATGTTCAAAAGGCAAACAGAGCATAGCCTAAAAGGGGCTTGTTATCTGAGGGCACCTCCTCGTTTCATCTTCTTTTCTTTCTTTCTTGTTTTGGCCTTTTCTTTCTTATTTCCTTCTTCTTCGCTCACTCGTTTTCATCTGCCTTCCATTTTTAATGAAATAAAGGCTCTTAGTACCACTAGCTCAGGAAGCCACTGTTTGACTACAGGCAGTAGTCACTGAGACTCTAGGAAGAAAGTTAGCTTTAAATGAAATTGGTATTTCCTTCTGACTCTGGGCAGGTAGTTGGGAGAAGACGAGCGGGGTGGGAGCACGGACTGTGAGCTCCCTCTGGAGAAGAGGGAGGATTTGAGTCCTCTGTTAGTGACTCAGACCTCACAGCTCTGTTACGAAGAACAAGAATAAAGTGCCTGTCTATTGGGTCCAGAAAAAAAATCAAGAATGGAGTGAATGTGCTTCATGCTCTACTTCTTTTCATTAACAGATTCTTCTTACCTGTTGTTTCCAAAAGGGACTATAATCGAAACATGACGGCGTTTTTGTTCCACTATTATACATGTAGCATGTCCCCATGCCATGTCCCACTTTGTGCAGTAGATGTCAGCCTCGCACAGCCTTTCTCTTCCTACGTGCAGATGGCTAAGACAAAAATCCTTGTACTCACCCTTTTCCTGGTTAAAAAGACCAATTTTTTCCATCTTAAGCACAAAAAACAACAGTAAACCATCACCCGGATATTGGAAACAGAGTTGCACTAAATTGCTTGGAAACTGGCCAAACCAAGGACTGCGGAAAGGGGTGACAAATGTTGTGGAGAGGGGCAGATTACGTCCTGTGGGTCTCACTGGACAGATGTTTGGTGTGGCATCAATGTGGGTCCCCAAAAACACAGTTACGACACCTACTCAAGAAGATGTGGACATGGCCCCGATCAAAGGTCTTCTGTTTCCCTCAGGAGAAAGAAATTGAGGCATCAGCAAGTAGTATCCTGGGAGAAGCTCTGAATATAAACCACTGATATCCTGTTGGTCCAGGAGTAGATTAAGTATCTTATCTGGCCCTCAGGTAAGATATTTCTCTGAGCCTCAGCTTCCTAATCTTTTTTTAATTTTAAAGTAAATTAATTTAATTATTATTATTTTCCCTTAACAGAAGCACTGGGGATTGAACCCAGGACCTCATGCACACTGAGCATGTGCTCTACCACTGAGCTTCTACTCCTAGTCTTTAAAATTGGAAAGAATGACAGCCTAGTCTACCAAAAGTGCTTAATGAGGGGAAGAAATTGAAATATTGTGCATAAAAAAGTTTGTAGACTATAGTGTACTATTTACATGTAGACAACAGAATAAAAATTATAAAGGAAAATGTAGAATAAATTCATGAATAAAAAAGAATTCAGTGCTCAAAGTTTAATAAATTACAGTTAATTATTTCTATAGATTTTTCTCATCATATCACACAAAGATTTTTCTTTCTCTCATGTGTTCAACGTTAGCCACATGGAATTTTGACATACTTAGGATTTATTTCACAAAAAGATCCCAACCTGAAGGGAGCCGTATGATTTGAATAAATGGTCCTGCTGAAGGAGGGGCGGAGATTCCTTTTCCAGTGTTTACATTGTACCATTAATAGACAATTATAAGCCACTTATAAACTCCATGTGCTAAAGAAATAGAAATATCAATCTTCAAATAACCCTTTGTTTCCAGCTGGGTGTGTTAATACCATTGCATCTCAGAGTTGTCTTTGATCTCATAACCCCTCTTAGCGTCTTAGTTCATAAATTGAGATGACTAAAGCTTACCGTATCATGGTCAGTTTGCACTGGTTTTGGGAAGAGGCCTCAAATGCATCACCTTCATGTTTTATCTCGTTTCAAACCTATATCATTTAAATTAGAAATACAAACATTACTGAAAGAACTCCTGTTTGAGAGTAGAAAGATTATTTGTTTTATACTTTGATGTTGAAATTTGAGAAGTCTCCCAATCAGATTGTTGACATTTTCTGATGTTGTCAGGAAAGGCCAAAAGCCATTCAAAATTTTTTCATTTCCCATGACTCATCCCCTCCCATGGAGTTTTGTGCTATATATTCCCTGCCTTGTCTGTTCTTTTTGTTAAAAATCCTTTTTATGTCACCAGCTCCCTTTTTTTTTTTTTTTTTTTTGCTGAGGCTTTCACTTTGCTATATCTTGAACTGAAGAAGTAGAAGAAGAGGTTGAACACCTAACCTTTGAAACCTCTTAATACTTGCTGAGTGGTCAAGGGGCAAAGTGGAAAAGATTGTTGATTGAACTTTACCCCATTTGGAAAAGCCCTTCCTACAATAGCTCAACCATCCTCATTTTAAGGAATTAAGTATTTGTTTTCCTTAGAATCCAAAGTCTTTCGGAACATTCTCCAAAAAGTGAGGCCAAATTTCTGTACTTAGTGGTCAGCTTGGGGTACTGTATTTTTTGACTCACTTTCAAATCAAGTGCTTTTGCATATTATAGGTAATTCAGAATCAAAATAACTTGATTTTAGATTTCCAGTGTTGTCTGCTATGTTGCTTCTTGCTGCATTTTCAAAGCAATTTACAATTATAAATTGACTATTGCTCTCACCTAAGGCAGCAGTTTCTGGGTAAAACTTCACAGAAGCCAAGACAATATTGATACAGAAATAAGTTATTCACCTCTTAACATCAACAACCTACCTCACGATCAGAGAGAGGCTGATAACTCCCCACACCCTCCCCGATTTGCCTTTCAAATAATTTGTAGATGCAAAAATATTAGAAGCTGTGGAAATCCCCATTTCACCAGATTTTGTGTCATTCTTTCCTGGGAGCAAGGTGGGAGTCATTTTTCTCTCCTGTTCCAGTTAACCCCAAACAAGAGCTTTGAACAGCGAGGCTACCACCTCTTCCTGGTGATTTTGTTTTTAGTATACTCGTCACAGCTCACAGTTATACTAAATGTACCTCTTTCCCATTATTCTTAATTTTTCCCATTCCTCTCTTCCACCCTGAATTTCCTCCTACTTTCAGATACTTGAAGATGATGTCCCTATAGCCTTCTCTCCTGTATCCTCAAATCATCCAGACATAAATATTTTACCATAAACATTCGCCAGTGTATTTCTGATGGCACTAAAGTGTCTGCACAACCAGTCCCTTATTTATAAAGCCCACATCTGCTGACCCTGTAACACTATACTAGCTCATGAACTCTCCTGGAACGTGAGGATTCCGCGAGAAGATTTTACTTGCACTACTTACAAAGAGAAAGATGGAGAAAGAGAGACGACCGATTACAAAGAGAAATCTTTTAATCCATCTTCTCGGTGATCTTTGGGGCTGTGCGCTGATATTTAAATTGAACAGGAGGGAGGAGACAGGATGGATAGGAACCGAAGAGGTGGGGGCGGAGCTAGCTCAGCACATAAAACCCCTGGCTAAAAGGGAAGCGCGTTCATCTGTGCCAGAGCCACTCTCCTGTAACCACGAGAGATGGGGCAGCCTGTGCCGTGAGGACGGAGATCGGAAGAAGGAAAGCAAGGACAAGAAAACAAGCGTGACAGAAGAGGACATCTGGAGAAAGCGGAAGGCAGAAGACGGGGAGGGGAAAGGAACCCACACCAGGTGGAAACAGGACCAAGAGCAAACCGGTTGGGTCCACAGTTTTTTTCTGGAAGAAAGTACCGGAGGATTGCCTTTTTTCCCTTCAGTTAATGAAAACTACTTTTATCCTCATCATAAAAGAAAAGGCTAAGGGGAGGTAAAGACAATCTCTGTTTTCTTAGGGGGAGAGCTGAGGGAAATTCAGACTGTTTCTCTGAAGCGTGAAAATAAGCCACTGCCTGGTACATTGCAGAACGGTCCTGATTTCTGAAGATCTACATCCCTTTCAGAATTCCAGCCGGAGAAGCTGGTACAGTTCTATTTTTATATTTAAATATCTATGTCTCTTTTCCCCTCCCTTTAACAACACTTTCCTTGTTCGTAAGCACAAGTGACAAGAAAGTGTCAAGACGAAGTAGGAGTATTTTCATTCTTCTCTTTTAGCTGCCTGGGTCTTTTTAAAAGAGGGTAAGAGTGGTCCTTATCTCGGAAAACGATGTTTCCATTTGAAAGGCTCTCTCTCTAAATATATTTACACCCATGTGTATTTAGAAAGAGAGATACCTTTCGGAGGTTGAAATCCTACTGAGAAACATGGAAAAAGGAGCCAGGCACCGAAACAACACTGAAAAGAACCAACCAGGTGGGACCGAGTCGGAGGCCAGCCCCGAGACTGGTTCTGGAGAGGGCGGAGTAGCCCTGAAGAAAGAGATTGGATTGGTCAGTGCTTGTGGTATCATTGTAGGTGAGTCCAATTCCTTTTCCCACCGACCACTCCTCCCCCCTCTGGTGGTCCTATTGTGAAACGTTAAACCCCCTACCCCCAGCCCCACCCCTCCCTTGTAAAGCACTATTTCTGTTTCTTACTCCCTTAGAAAAGGGTTGTCATTCACCTGTGCTGTAACCTACCCCACACTGGTCAAGTTTGAGAGGTATTATCAGAAGTGTTGTAGCTCATACATCTTTTCCTCCAAAACTGGGCTGAGGAGTTCTGGCCAGTGTTCTTGGAATGGAGCAAACAGGGGACACACACCTGGGCTGATGGTCAGCATTGCCTGGGAGCTTGTTGAAAATACAGATCTCTGAGTTCCGCGATTGAAGCTTCTGATTCAGTTGGCTTAAAGGTAGGGCTGGGGAACCCAGATTTTTAACAAGCTTTTATACAGCTATCTCCTCAGCAGACTGCGGGCTGGCTTTTGAGACAGATTTAGTAGATATTTTGTTGTTTCACGTCATGTGCAACTGCGGGCCTAGGGGCTATGTAATAATAAAAATAGCTATAACAGCAATAAGAATGCCTTGCCTTTCTACAGCTTTTCCACCTTATACAGCACTCTCTCTTGGTGAAGGAGATGTGACAGGGCTGTTATTCCCATTTCACATATGAGGAAATAAATTGTGGAAGAAGAAAAGAGATAGGTCATGGTTTTCTGTGAAAATGTATTAGAGTTCTCATTTTCTCTAGTTGCTTAGAGTAGTCCACCCAACATCCTCGTCTCTCTGTTTTTGTTTTTTAACTTTTTTTGGAGGGGAAGGTAATTAGGTTTATATATTTATTTACTTATTTTAATGGCAGTCCTGGGGATTGAACCTAGGACTACAATGCATGCTAACCAGGCACTCTACCACCGAGCTATATACCCTACCCACAACTTCTACGTGTCTTAACATTCATGTAAGACCCTGTGAGGTTCTCGAAGGAAATGGGAGTAACTAGAATTTGGAACCCCATTTGAAACTGGGGAGCCTGGATGTCCCTAAGTGTGCCAGTGCAGGCCACTCCAGCCCCTTAACTGCACTCTACTGGGCAGAGGGGTCCCAAATATGGCTCCATCCCTAAACAATGCATTTTTTTTCTTTCCAGAGAGGTCTTAGAGATAGATGGGCTCATTACTGCCCTCACTCCAGAAAGAGAGCACTTCTTCTGCTGTCTTTGGCAGAGGGCTTCTTCCCAGAGAAAGTGGTACAGGACAGTCAGGCCAGGTATGTTTCTGTGTCGTCTTTGCAGACTTCCTATTGAAGGCTTGTTGTGTCCTGGTGCCCACAAACCAGTTTCTCTGGATAACCCCATGGTCCATATGGTAGCGCAGAGGCGTCCTGGCACCTGAGCAATAGTGACACTGGAGAATGCCCTTGAAATCAAATAAAATCAGTACAGTATTCAGATAATCCTCTTCCCCTCTATGCCCTGCCTTCAGTGATCATGTTATCTCCACTCTGCTTTCAAAATGGAGTCCCACCTTATTGAATTATCTGACTCCGGGAGGTTTTCCAGGCATCCACAGTTTAAAAAGGTAACGTTATCTTTAAAAAATTATGGAGTCATGATCTGAATCTCTAATTACCTTTTCTTTGCCTCTTTATTTCAATTGCTCTAAAAAGTGAGATCAGCAAAGTATTCAATATGTATATAGCACATGCCAATCTAAGGTCTGTAAATAGCCCAGGGCCTGTTACCTCTTTCCCCAGTTTGACTGAGAGGATTAAGTATTTTCCTCCCTTTGGAAAGGTTCTGATTCATATACAGATGTGCACACCCACCTGCACAGCACACAAGCACAATCAGACCTCCTTCCTGCCTCAGCCTTGCTCACCCACCCCTACATATGTGCAAGTATTCAAGGAGAGAGGATGTTTTCCTATATACTAAGCTTGTTTTTGTCTCTTTCTTGAACATTTTTCTAAGACTATGAAGAAATGGGAGTGTTCAAGTATAAGAAGTATAGTTTTAGTTGGGTGAATGTTACTACTGATTTGTCCACAACCTCATGGATAGCAGTTCAATATAAGGATAGTCCCAATGCTCCCATTGGTATTACAGCAACCAGGATAATAACTCTGGTGTTCTATGGAGAAAACAGACTCCAAATGTATGATTTCAGAGAAATTAAGATATATTCCTTGTAGAGTTGGTAGGCACGACTGCATCTCCATTTAAGCTGAGACACACATTTCCTTTTAGGGTGATATGGGGAGAAAATCCTTTTCATTTCCCCTCCTGCATGGCTGTTGAATTGCAAATGTGCTGTGTAGCTGCCCTGTCCTCTTTTAGAGGGTTTTTTAAGTGGATGACAGTGATTCAAGTTTTTTCAAGACCAAATGCAAAAATAGAAATGGCATTTTCCACGTGGAATTCAGTGATCTGATGTTCAATGTCAACACTATAGAAGAATTAGAAGGCAGAGAGGGAAAGGAAATTTCCTAAGTGAATCAGGTCATGAGGTAAGGGAAAGTAGCAACTGCCCCAAATCTTTCTTTCTCATAGACTTGACTTATTAGGATAAGTTAAACTATGTTTCATAAAGCCTCATAAAATTTCATTGACAATCATCACTGATGATTTTAAACTAGGAATAACAAAACGGCAAGTGTTACAGGAATATAAAATGTACTAATAGAAGACTCATGCTCTAGAGTTATTTATAATTTGACTGGGGAGATGAGATTTATATGCACTAGACAGAGAACACTGAAAATTTATGATAGGTAGAATTGTGTAAGGAGGACAAAGTTAGGTAAATGGTGAGAAGCACAGAGAGAAGTCCTCATCTAGAACTAGATTAAGAACAGCCTTAGGGGAAGGGTGTAGCTCACGGGTAGAAGTGTATGCCTAGCATGCATGAGGTCCCGGGTTCAATCCCCAGTACCTCCATTAAATAAATTAATTACTCCCTTCCCCTCAAAAGAATCCCCTTGAAGGACACAGAGAAAGATGGCATAGATAAGATAATTCTGGGAGATTTTGTAAGTAGAGGGTAATGACTAAACTGTTATTTCTTTGAGCAAAAAAAACCTGTCGTATATGTCTCTGAATTTTTAGTGCTTAGCAGAGTGCCTGACATGGAACAATTATTCAAATAATTATTGAATTTAATTGACTCAGACAAAAATCAGAAGACAGTAGTATTAAGTGTTTATCTGAAAGACTGTTAGGAACCTAGCTTGAAAATCTTTAAGCTAGGAATAATTTCATCAACCTGGAAATGAGGTTGACTTGTTTTGATTTTTTTTTTAATTTAATTTTTATTTTTTGTTTTGGGGGGAGGTAATTAGGTTTATTTATTTATTTTAACAGAGGTACTGGGGATTGAACCCAGGATCTCAGGCATGCTAAGCATGTACCTCTACCACTCAGCTATACCCTCCCCAGACCTGTTTTAATTTTTTAACATCACCTTTGCCCTAATGTAACTGGGCTGTTGCTCTCCATGTATTAGGCTAAGGAAACCTGTCAGCAACAGATGAACTTAGATTTTTCCATGAATGTGGAGTTCCCCCAAATCTAAAGAGAGTGTGAAGGAGCAGTAAAATTCATTTATTAATGCTATCAAAGCTACTGTTAATAGCTGTCATTATTAAACACTTACTATATGCCAGACCCTTATCCAATTACTGAACATACATTATCTTATTTAGCCCTCACAATAATCCCATTTGGTAGGCATTTATTAGCTCTTCCTCCAGATAAAGAAATTGAGCTTCAGAGGGATAAGCAACTTGTTGAAGGTCACACAGCTGAAAAGCATTTGAAGTTTCAAACCTAGAGCTTATCTGAATCCTGAATCAAGCCCTTAAGCATTATTCTCTACTATTTCTGTTTTCACATCCTAAAAGAAGGGTTTTCCTCTAGATCCTGGGCAGAGGTCCTTATTTGTTTTTATAGAAGAAGCTGTTAGTGTTGTGTTCCCAGTGAGGAAGTGTCGCAGTGTAAAGGGGAGCTGAGCAATTAGCTGGGAGAAGAAGAAGGGACCATGCCGGTGCAGCTGCAGGAAGACTTGTGGGGGAAGCTTGAGGTGCGTTGTCTCAGCTACTGCAGGATGTGGTCAGCAGAGACTACACTCCCATTAACTTTCCCAGATGCACACCTTTCTCTGTGGACCAGAATTCTTTGCAGTCATGGTGAGAGGCATCCACAGAGTTTGTGGCTGTTTAGGTCACTTCGTATCAATTATGTGTTTAGGTATGTACCCAGAATCTAGGTCTAAAGGCACCAGGCTAGCTGCAGAACCTCCAGAAAAAAATTCATGGTATGTCAGACCATTTTGTTTTGAGCACAGTGTATGTTTATGGGGGTCCTTGGTCTATTTGCTGCAGAGCAATACTGGATGCAGATCTAGCTATTAGACTACTCTCTTCCAATTAACAAGATGTTTTAAAAAAATATAGTATTTATTGAGCTCTTACTAGTTCCTTACAAGTACCCTTATCAGTTCCTGTGCTATAAACTCGTTACACATATTACCTTATTTAGTCTTGACAACAATTCTATGGAAGTAGATATTGTAATTATCTCTATTTTAAACATGGGGAAATTGAGTCACAGAGCTGGGAGGTAATTTGCAGAGTCACACAACTGACTACTGAGATGGTCTGAGTCCACAGCCAAAGCTCTTAGCCATCCC